AAATATTTTATTTTTAAAAAAGAGAGTGAGACCAGATATATGTATGAAAATATTTATCAGAGAGCCCATGGAATGTCTATAAGTTAACAAAAGATACAGAAAAAATATTGTTCTTGAAGCAAAAATACCCACAGTTCAGTTCAAATCTTTCTTTTAATGATTGAAAAAGACTCATAAATATGAAATCAAGTAATTCTTATTAAAACTCTTCCAGTTTTTTCGTGATTCAGTTGTCTAAAAAAGGCTACAAAATAATACTACCTGGTAAACTTTCCTAAGTAATAATAATTCAAATTAAAAAACTTCCCACTATTTCGTGATTCAGTTACAATTTTTAGTTGCTTAATATATGCTACAAAATAATACTACCTGATATACTTTCCCAAGTAATAATTCCTATTAAAAAAAAAGTCCCACTATTTCGTGATTCAGTTACAATTTTCAGTTGTCTAAAAAAGGATACAAAATAATACTACCTGATAAACTTTCCTTAGTTATCTGCACACAAACGAGAGTTTTTAATCACAACTTCACCAAAATCAAAATAATAACTTCCTACCTGAAGCGGAGCAAAATATTGCTGTACAAGCAAATAACAATTCTGACGCTTAAGTTTAGTGCATATCATTTACGTACTCATTATTTTTATAATGTTACGCGAACGTAAAGTGCGCCGAGTTAGCCTTTTTTCATAATATCTAAGGTATCACCTGGTCAGAATGAAATTCAGCTTTATGCTATTTTGAAGTTTTATTTATCACCTGATCTTTATGACTTTCAAGTTTACACTATTATCAATTTATATTGATCATCTGGTTACAATGAAATTCAACCTTTTGCTATTTTAAAGTTATATTTACCACCTGTTAATACGAAATTCAACCTTTTGCTATTTTAAAGTTATATTTACCACCTGATTACTACGAAATTCAACCTTTTGCTATTTTAAAGTTATATTTACCACCCGATTACTACGAAATTCAACCTTTTGCTATTTTAAAGTTATATTTACCACCTGATTACTACGAAATTCAACCTTTTGCTATTTTAAAGTTATATTTACCACCCGATTACTATGAAATTTAAATTTATGCTGTTATTATGTTTCTCATCTGATCTCTACGAAATTCAGGTTAATGATGTTTTAACTTATGTTTCTTATCATTTGGTATCTAAATCACTCAACAAGCACAATAAATGATATATTTCTTACTTTGCATCTCACAGTCGTATTACAAAACTTGTAAATCACACATTTCAGAAAATTATGAAAAATCATCACTTTTTGAGATCATATAATTACTGAGTGCACATTTCGTTTTACAGTACAATGTGGGATTTTTGTTCCAAAAATAATAAGCTTGTCTAGCGAACAATTCACAATATGATATAAAATTAAATACATACCTAACAGACGATGGTAACTACCAACTTTTAAGTAGCGAAATTCTAAAAATGAAAATCTTAATAAATCTATGTTGAACTTTAATAACAGTCATTCTATTAATTATAATTACGACAATTAACCTGCCCTTTATATTACAAAGTTTACGAGCGAGATAATTGATAATTATGGATAGTTTTGCGAAAGGTACAGATGTTAAAATTAACATTTTATTACTTACGTCCATTGAAATATAAATATACTTTTGTAATGATTTGCCTAAAAATCATGTCATATATAAAGTTTCCTTTGTTCGTTGGTCTGAAAATATTAATGTTCGTTTCACCACGGCCCAATGAAGGTTAACGAAAGCAAGTCGAATTATAAGGTCTACAAATTAATATAAAAAATATTATTATTTTCAAAATTTAAAGGTTTTATTTTTGTTCCACAGCATGGGAAATTAAACCCATTATAAAATTTTTGTTCGTTTATCTTTAAGCTCAAAGCAACACAACAGGTTATTTGCGCTGTGCCCACCACCGAACCATGATTTTTAGTATAAACCCTCAAGTTTACTACCGAACCACTGGGAGACCATTATAAAAGTATTAATATTTCAATTAAGCTTATAAAAAATCCAAGATGACTCAAGTTATGATATTTTTTACAATTTCAAACCAATAATCTTAAGAAATAATTTTCTGTTTTCTTTCCATTTTGTCCATCAGAATTGGTTGTGATTTGGTATCTATATAAATATAATAGTGCTGTCTGTTGTATGTTCATATAACTACTTCGCAGGATGTGGATGGATATTCACCAAATTTGGTATGGAGATTCATTAGGTCCATGGGGAGATGCATACACATTTTCAGTTTTGTGGTTGTTATGAGCGTTTTCGTGTTTGTTTTTTACCATTACTTCGCCCACGGTTGATGGATCTTCACCGAATTTAGCATGAAGGTTTGTGGGGTCCATGCGGATATACATGC